GTTCGTAGAAAAGAGATGTCACAGATTGCTCTTCTGAAAACTGTCTAAGCCAATAAGCTGTCTGTACACTTGCAGTCAAATCCGAAACATTCTTATTTTGTTGATGTTTGATTCCTTTAATGATATATTTAGTCTGATAGAGCTAACATCGTGGATTTTTATTCTATTGTTTAAGGAACAACTGAAAAACGTATGCTGGTAGAAAAAAAAGAATATTTTCAGTTTGTTTTAGTGAAGATGCAATAAAAACTTGATTAACTGCAAAAGTTGATGAGTTGTAGACGTACAACCAGTGATGATTTTCTGATAGATTCAGTGAAATCTGTCATGTGGTTCATGAGATATTTTAACACAAAGGTGGGCAGTTCTGGTCCTGGAGGGCCGCAGCCCTGCATGTTTTAATAGTTTCTCTGCTGCAGCACACCTGATTTAAACGAATTGGTAAGCTAAACTCAAACTGCAGTGTGTCAGCCAGGAAAATAACTGTATTTTCAATTAGGCAATCAAAAGATTAGTTTGGTTTAGGCTTCTGCAGAACTTGGAAGAGGTAATTCAATGACTGAATCAGGTGTGTTGGAGCAGAGAAAAAAAGGCTGCGGCCCTGCAGGACCAGGATGGCCCACCCCTGTTCTAACAGACAAACATGGCTCACAACAAAAGCTAATGGCAAAGTTTCTAACAAATACCTCATACCTCTATGTGTACCTCTTAGTACACATAGTATACTGTATGTTGTGGGTGACTCAGCTACTACAGCACCAAATATTAACTTAGTATCTGTCAAATTCACCGAGTTTTTAAGATCTCGTTGCACTTTCATGCATGCAGAGTAGTTTTAGACTTTATTGTAAGACCTAAAAATATGTTTATGCCAATGAACTGTCATTCAAACTGAGTTCCAAGTCATAAAAATAGTCCCATACCAGTGTGTGTCTGCTTTTGGTTGTTTTGTTTCTAAGCATGTGACAGGAAAAAAGACTGATTTTATATGAAAATACGCCATGGTGAAATATATGATGGACATTTGGGGACATGCATGGAAAAAAAAGAGAAGTCAGGTTCTGTGTGTGTGTGTGGGGGGG